GGCACAGACCTGGCACTGGAACCCTTGTTAGAAGCCCAAGTTGAGGCCGGTGAAGAGGCTGGAGCCAGGTTCCAAGTCTTCACTCATTTAATAGTAGTGGGTTTTTGTGCCAAGGACGGTCATTGTGGGCTCAGATTTTATTGCCTTGACAGCCTGATAGCAGGGCCTGTGCTGTCAGAGTGTCACTGGTTTGAAAGACAGATAGGCCTTTAGTCTCAATTGCTGATCATGGCATACTCTGGGGATGAATGTGATGGAGTGTGAGCTTCACCTGAGCACACCAGACATGAAACATACATGTCTGATTTCAGATAGACTGTCGGATAGACTTACAGCCTTTCTATGGCTCTACTCCTGCCATCTTTGCATGGACCAACACCAGATCAATCTCCTGCACTACTCTCTCTTTCTTTTAATTAAAGTGAATAAAAGAAAATTCAGATGGCAAAGATGGTCTACTAAATAATTAGGCAGAAAGTCACAGACAGCGAGGATCCTAATGCTTTGCACAGCAGAGGAGAAGGAAATGAAGACACTGGGGTCTGCACTGCCTTATATAGATTCAGACATTGAGCACTGACATCACTAGGAGGGCTTATGCAGCCCCACCGGATACAACTGTAGTAGAGGTTCCATGAACTTGAAGCCAAAGGATGTCAGACCTGCAAGTAGGGATGCACAGAAGCCTCTGAAGAACAACACAGGTGTTACTTTGTAAACATTTTAATACACTTTCCCCAGTCACATCTGTATAACAGGTTGGCCTAGAAACATCAAATGTTTTATCCCACAACTCATCCCCATACTTTCAAATTTTGCATATTCTTGTGTACAAATTCTGTTTCAATTCCAATGCATTCTAATGCTTTTCCACCCAAAAATTATAGTATCCCTACAATCTTAACTGCAGTTTAGCCAATTATTTTTGTCTGAGAATGTGAATAAATCACAGACCCTTCTGGCTGGTGTTGCTGGACCCTTTGAATTTCTTGAATATTTACTGTATTTAAGACTATCGTTGACAAATTAAAATGAATCAGTGATAATTACCTGGAGCACATTTTCCACTGTAACATTCATTTCCAGGTTCTGCTTGCAGTATGCTTGAAGTCTGTTGTTGTAGAAACCATAATAATAAGGAGCAGCGAAGAGGTAGCTATAAAGCTAGTCAAGGAGAACAAATTTGTGTTCCAAGTTAGTAATAATTAGGGCTCCGTGTCTGTCACGGAGGTTGCGGAAGTCATGGATTCTGTGACTTCTGGAGCGGCCAGTGTGGCTGACCCCAGGGGCCAGCTGCTCAGATAGAACAAGAAGTAATTGACTTAATCTGCAGCAAGGGAGATTTACATTAGATATTAGGAAACACTTTCTAACTATAAGGGTACGTCTACACTTACATCCGGGTCCGGATGTAAGCAATCGATGTTCTGAGTTCGATTTATCGCGTCTGGTTAAGACGCGATAAATCGATCCCGGATCGATCCCGGAAGTGCTCGCCGTCGACGCTGGTACTCCAGCTCGGCGAGCGGAGTACGCAGCATCGACGGGGGAGCCTTCCTGCCGCGTCTGGACCGCGGTAACTTCGGACTAAGGTACTTCGAATTCAGCTACGTTATTAATGTAGCTGAATTTGTGTACCTTAGTCCGAAGTGGGGGGGTTAGTGTAGACCAGGCCTAAGGGTAGTTCACCTCTGCAATAGGCTTCCAAGAGAGGTTGTAGAATTCCCATCATTGGCGGTTTTTAGGAACATGTTGGACAAACATCTGTCAGTGATGGTCTAGGTTTCCTTGGTCCTGCCTCAGAGCAGGGAGCTGGATTTGATGACTTCTCCAAGTCCCTTCCAGCCCTACATTTCTATGACTCTATGGTTGTCCGTGCAAGCTCCCTCCAAAGATGTGCATAAAGTATTTCCCCTAGAGTTGTACAGCAAGATGGTTAGTCAGTGGACCAGTCCAACATACCGAGGCATGCATACTCTCTGTCAGCCATTGTGAATGACAGCAATGGACCAAAAATATAGTGAGCAGGGAGTAAGTCCTGCATAGTTGTGCTCACAAAGGGGATCTTGGCATTGCAATACTTAACTCCTAGGCACCTTGCCACAAAGTGGAATTCACAGCCCGAGTTAGGTGGTCAGGCTCGCCATGCATTGCATGTGGAGAGTTAAGCACCTATGAACTGGATTCTCAGAAGCCAGCAACTGAGCAGGGAACTGCCTGAGCTGGCCAGGAGTGAAATGCAGAGGGCTTAGGGCCCAGATTCACAAAGGGATTTACATACCTAATTGACAGACTGGAAGGATATGCCTATCTCTGCTCAGGATTCTTAGCCTTAAACCCAAACCAGGTGAGCTCTTTCTCACAAAGAATTGAAGAGACACTCCTCTACCCCATTTTAAAATGATAGGAATGAAGGGCTCTCAAGAGGCCATCAAGTCCAGCCTCCAGTAGCCCACTGCACACACCTGGGGGTGTGGGAGACCTGTTTTCATAACCCTGCTCTGTCTGATTTGGAGCAGAGACTCGAACACACGATTCCTACACTCCTGGTGCTTGCTGTAAACACCAGGCTATCAGGTGTTGACTTGCTTACCCATTTGTGTGGGTTCAGCATGCTCTGAGTGCATCAACCAGATCAGGCCCTGCACAAATGAGATGGGCAGGGGAACGCCTACTTTGAGAATTCCACTGTGGCTTGGGTGTAAGAAAAGGTTACTTACTAACTGTGATTCTTCAAGATGTGATGCAGACGTGTGTATTCCACTTAGGCGTGTGCGTGCCCAGTGCACCAGAGGAAGAGAATTTTCCCTAGCAGTACCTGCAGAGGGGCAGCGCTCACGCCTCGTGGCCATAGCCCCATTCCAGGCTTTCGGAGGCAGTGCCGCCCGAACCCCACTCAATTCCTTTGCAACAAACATCCAGAGACTAGACTCTGATGCAGAGAAGGTGGAGGGTGGGTCGTGGAATTCATGTCTGTATCACATCTAGAAGATCCAGTTACAATAAGTAACTGTTTCTTCTTCTTCAAATACATGCAATCGAGTATTCCACTTAGGTGATGCACAATATCTTCATTAATGACCTGGAGGATGGCATGGATTGCACCCTCAGCAAGTTTGCAGATGACACTAAATCATAAAATCAAAGAATATCAGGGTTGGAAGGGACCTCAGGAGGTCATCTAGTCCAACCCCCTGCTCAAAGCAGGACCAATCCCGAACTAAATCATCCCAGCCAGGGCTTCCTCAAGGCTGACCTTAAAAACCTCTAAGGAAGGAGATTCCACCACCTCCCTAGGTAACCCATTCCAGTGCTTCACCACCCTCCTAGTGAAAAAGTTTTTCCTAATATCCAACCTAAACCTCCCCCACTGCAACTTGAGACCATTACTCCTTGTTCTGTCATCTGCCACCACTGAGAACAGCCGAGCTCCATCCTCTTTGGAACCCCCTTTCAGGTAGTTGAAAGCAGCTATCAAATCCCTCCTCATTCTTCTCTTCTGCAGACTAAACAATCCCAGTTCCCTCAGCCTCTCCTCATAAGTCATGTGCTCTAGCCCCCTAATAATTTTTGTTGCCCTCCGCTGGACTCTTTCCAATTTTTCCACATCCTTCTTGTAGTGTGGGGCCCAAAACTGGACACAGTACTCCAGATGAGGCCTTACCAATGTCGAATGGAGGGGAATGATCACGTCCCTTGATCTGCTGGCAATGCCCCTACTTATATAGCCCAAAATGCCGTTAGCCTTCTTGGCAACAAGGGCACACTGTCGACTCATATCCAGCTTCTCGTCCACTGCAGCTTAGGAAAAAACATGGGTACACATACCACCTGGTTCAAATAAAACTGGGAGACCACTTTAGACAAAAATATTGGGTGCGGCCATAAAGCACTTTGTCCTTGGAGAACCATGTATAAGGAGGCTCTGCCATCAGAGCCTGCAACTCAGAGACTCCCCTTGCAGATGTTATTGAAACCAGGAAAGCAGTTCTCTGACACAAAAGCAGAAAGGGTTAAGATGCCAGAGGCTCAAATGGAGGTCCCATCAAGTCCACGAGGATAGTATTAGGTCCCACAGAGGAACTGGCTCCCAGACACTGGAGGATGGAGATGAAGAAGGCCTTTAAAGAATCTTGCTGCCATGGCATTGGAAAAGACTGATCTTCCAAGGATGGGTGGATGAAACACTGAAATCACCACCGGGTGCAACCTCAAGAGCTAAAGGCAAGGCCAGGCAGCCGAAGACACAGCAAGTACTCTAAGATGTCCTGGATAGAGACCAGCATCAGTTGAACTCTGTGGGCCGACAACCACACCAAAAAAATGCTTCCATTTTGTCAAACAGGCGATTCTGGTACAGGGCTTTCTATTGAATAGAACCTGTAGAATGGCTGTCAAACAACATTTCATCCTCATTTAACCACAAAACAGCCACACAGCAGGGAGCTGAGCATGAGATGCAAGGCACGACCATGATTCTGAGTGAGTAGGTCAGGATGAAGATGAAGGGATAAAGGAGGCTGAATTGACAGCGCAAGGTTGGAGAATCAACACTGCCTTGGCCATGCTGGGACAAGGAGGATTCATAGATTCATAGATTCATAGATTCTAGGACTGGAAGGGACCTCGAAAGGTCATCGAGTCCAGTCCCCTGCCCTCATGGCAGGACCAAATACTGTGTAGACCATCCCTGATAGACATTTATCTAACCTACTCTTAAATATTTCCAGAGATGGAGATTCCACAACCTCCCTAGGCAATTTATGAGCTTGGCCTGATCCGCTTTCAGTTTGAGGATGACCTGTGGTATGATCGGGATTGGGGAAACACATACAGAAGAGCTGATGCCAGCTGAGATGGAAGGTGTCAGTCAGGGAGCCCGGACAGAGTTCTCCTTGAGAGCAGAACAGATGGCATATCCTGTTGTCCCTTGTAGTAAACAGGTCAGTTGTTGGAATGCCCCAAGCTGCAAAGATGACCTGCAGGATGCTTGTCTTCAGAGACCACTTGTGACTCAGGGAAAAATTCCTTTTGAGATGGTCTGCGAGATGATTCTGGGCCTCAGGCAAGCAATCGGCTATTAGAGTGATAGTCTCCTCGATGCAGAACTGCCATAACCTGACCACCCTGGATTGTGCTCCCCTTGTCTGTTCACATAATGCATTACAGCAGTATCGTTGGTAAATATGTAAATGATGGCTCCCCTGATGTGGTTCAGAAAGGCGGGACAAGCATTATAGATGGCCTGAAGCTCCAGCATGTTGATATGCAGTGACACCTCCTGCTCTGACCACAGACCCTGAATTTTCAGTGACCTCAGCTGTGCTCCCCAGCCCACCAGGGAGATGTCAGTGACAACAGACCTGGTTGGCAGGGGCTGGACAAAGGGAATGCCCTGACATATACTTTCTGGAAGCATCCACCACTGCAAGGAGTCCAGGACCAGTGGAGGGAGATGGACCAATCTGTCCAAGGAATGAAGAGTCAGATGGTAAACCGTCCTGAGCCACATTTGAAGGGGTAAAGGCGCAATCTTGCTAACTGAACCATCTGCGTGCAAACAGATATGTGGCCCAAGAGCCTCAGGCACATCCAAACTGCCACGGAAAGCTGAGACTGCCCATAAGTGTGTTGTGGACAGTATTGCTGCTGTTGCTGCTGACCATAGTGGCACCTTTGCACTGCCAGTGCATACAAACCCAAGGAACGTAGGGTGGCCCTAGAATCCTTGAAGAAGTACTGAGTCTCGTCCATCTTGTCTGAAAAAAGCACCCAACCATCAAAGGGCAGATCATCTATAGCCTGCTGCATGTCAGGAGCAATGCCCAAATTCTGCAGCCAAGATGCCCTTGTCATGGTCTTGTGGAGGCCACAACTCTGACCGAAGCGTCCATGATGTTCAGCATGGACTGCAATGATGTCTTGGCCATCAAGCAGCCTTTGGTAACGAATGTCCAAAATTTCTCTCTGGAGGTTTCAGACAGCTGGTCTGCAAACTTAGACATGGACATCCACTTACAAATTCATATTTGGACAACAATGCCTGCTGGTTTGCAATCCGCATTTGCAGATAGGAGGAGATGTAAATCTTCCTACCCATAAAGTCCATCCTTCTAGAGTCCTCATTCTTAGCAGTGGACTTAAATCTGCCCTGCCAGCCTCTATCGTTCACCACAGTTATGACCAGGAATTTGGGTCCAGATGGAAATAAAAGCCCTCAAATCCCTGCACCGGGACAAAACAGCGTTTCTTCATGTGCTTTGTGGTACGTGATACTTAAGCTGGCATTCTCCAAAGAACCTTTGCAGGCTCTAGGAGTGCATCATTAGTAAGAGGAGCCACTCTCCCAGGAGCAGACGACTGCAGGATATCCAGCAACATAATGGCGTTCTCCTGCAGGAACTCTGCCTGAATGCCCAGGGAAGCAGCCATGCACTGCCAAATGTCCTGTTAGGCCTTGAAATCCTCATGTATTGAAGGTGAGGAAGAGCCAAGCACTGCCAAATTGTTCCCGATGGGGGGAGCGGTGTTGACCCCAAAGTCAGTGGTGGCACTGAAGTAGCTGACGGTTCCAAAGTGGAGGGCAGTGAGAGCTGCCACAGTAACATCAGCGGTGTGAATGCAATGGTGCCAAGGAGTTTCCCTGTGCCAAAGAGGTCTCTTGCACTGAGCCCATACCAGCCTTGCTTCCACAGACTGTGGAAGGGGAACATCGGAGTATGGTGTCAATGGACCAAAAGGTTCAGCGGCCTGTTCATGCAATGGGGCTATAAATGACACAGCCCTGGCAAAATCCTGGATCAATGGAGGGGTCAGGATGGAAAGGCAAAGGAGGTCTGTTGCCGCCTGATATGCCGCCGACATGGAAACAACTGGTGTCAACATCACTCTCGTCGGTACTGGATTCAAGAATCAGAGTCGATGGTAGAGGGTCTCTGACCCCTCTGCGCAGTATCAGGAAGTGGTTAGAGGCACCCACACCCTCTCGTATGCTGGCATTAACACAATGCTGGTCCACACTCTTTCTGGAGGACGCAGAAGAGTTTTCATGAGACCTGGAGTGGTCTTGATTGGTCTTATGTGACCTTTTCCTCAGTGCATTTGATGGGGAACAACTCCTCCATCCCTTTGGAGAGGCGCTGGCTCCAGAGCATGAAATGGCAGCACTCTCAGAACCTGAGGGTGACCTCCAATCTGATGAGGTCCTCAGTGCTGAAGCAGGCGCTGCTTTAGGCGAAGGTCCCTAGCCAGCTGAGTCCCTTTCATGAACGACCTAGAAATTGCACACTGCTCTGTGACATAGCCGTCATAGCAAGCAGTGTGTGGGGATTGTTGTTGGGGATCGCTCCCCCCCACATAACAATGTTTAAACCATGGTGAGGGCATCACCAGGGAAATACTTAACTAAATGTAATTAACACTACATTTAACTAACACTAAGTACTAACTATATGCGACTAGAACAAACACTAGAAAAAGATAGTGAGAGATTGCATGGTTAAGAACCACACAAAGCTCTGACTCCAGCCACAGGCAGTAAGAAGGAAATGAAAGGGGTCAGGGTGGTGCCGCCTCATATAGCCAGAGGCTATGGCAAGGAGGTGTGAGCGCTGCCCCTTTACAGATATTGCTAAGCAAAGTTCTCCGACTCCAGGGCCCTAGGCACGCACACACCTAAGTGGAATACAAGGCTGCATCTACTCAAAGAAGCAGCTTAGGCTCTGAATGTCTTGTTCGCTGTGAGGGCAGTGTCAGGATTTAGTCAGCTTTGGGCATGCCCACAAGCAGAAATGCAGGTGCCTTTAGGGATTTAGGTGCCTACATGGTTCAGTGGCAGCTGAGCAGTGATTTTGTGAAAGTCAGTGATGTCTAGGAGACAGTTAAGTACCTCAGTGTTTTTGTGCATCTTACCCTAGCTGCCTAAGACATGCCTGTCCTTTCACACAAACAACCCAAGACAGAGCTTGCCCCCATTACAGCACATAGCCCAGTGGTTAGCACACTCACCTGGACTGGAAGAGACCCAGATTCAAACCCTCCTCTGGATTAGGGACTTGAACCCCAGTCTCCCACATCCCAGATGAATACCTTAAGTGCCAGGCTATTGGATATTTTGGGGTAGGTATTTCTCAAGCTGTCCTGTTGGAGCTGTTCCACTTTGTATAATTAAATATTCATTAGGTCAGGAAAAGAGAGAAAATGACTGCATAGATCAGTGGTCTTAGCACTCACATGGGAAAGCCAGGTTCAAGTCCCTGGCTAGTTATAATTAAGGCTATGATTTTGTCATGATGGTCACAGAAAGCATGAATTTGAATTAAGTCCATCAAATGCCATCCAAACCAAATGAAATGTGCTCAGACCAAGTGGTGTTGCAAACTTGTGCATGGGGTCACAGCATCACTCCATCTGCCCCACCATCTCCATCTATAGCAGCATGGACTCTTCAAACTTATGCAACATTGTGACCCCTACTTAGGGCTTGTCTACACTACCGCGGTAGTTCGACGGCTGGCAATCGAACTTCCGGGTTCGATTTATCGCGTCTGGTCTGGACGCGATAATTCGAACCAGGAAGTGCTCGCCGTCGACTGCGGTACTCCACCTCAGCGAGAGGAGTACCGCGGAGTCGACGGGGGAGCCTGCCTGCCGCGTGTGGACCGCGTCTGAACCGCGGTAAATTCGAACTAAGGTATGTCGACTTCAGCTACGTTATTCACGTAGCTGAAGTTGCGTACCTTAGATCGAATTGGGGTGTTAGTGTAGACCAGGCCTTAGAGTGGGTAGCTGGGCCCAGTCCCACAGGACAGGAGTTGCCATTGTGGGGTGAGTGTGGGGTGGGCTCACTCCCCACCTCCCACTAACCTCTTTCTGTGACATATTGTTGTTTTCCAGCACCTCTGCCATGAAATGTATTTAAAAATTTCATGACAAAATCATAAAACTAGTTATAGTTTAACTCAGCTGAACTGTTTCATGGTCCAGTAGAAGGGCCTGATTCTCCACACCCTCACAATGAAGGCATTTACAGCAGTGCAGAGTAGGTGTAATATGCTATTCTTCTGGTCTGGCAGATTTTTTTCATTCACTTTGCACAGGTGTAAATGATGATGATGCCAGGTGAATGACATGGCAGAATCAGGCCCAACACTTCAAATTAAAGTATCCATAGCAAAAGAAATCCAAAGTGTCTGTTTCAATTGCATCTACAGACCTTAGACTTCAGTAGATTTAAGGATACAGGGAATCTTCAGGAGGCATGTTCACTTCACCATAGTAAATGTATCTCAGCATAGACTCAAATGCTTGTTTACTGGGAACCATTTCACCTATAGAAATATTTACTTGTCCATCTTCTGGCATGAAGGAACGGAACATGGCTTCAAAGTAACTGGAAAAGGAAAGGTGACCAATGTAACACAGGGGGATTTTACATAACCACAAGAAAGGTTCTGCAGATGGTTTCACTCAGTACTGTTCAAAGGGGGCTACAAAGCATTGAAGCTTTCACACAAATTACTTCCTAGCTACTATGCGGAGGGAAAAACTGCCTCTAAATGCCTCCTCAAATATAGTATGCAGTAGTGTTGTAATCATGTTGGTCCTAGGATATTAGAGAGACAAGGTGGGTGAGGTAATATCTTTTATTGGACCAGCTTTTGCTGGTGAAAGAGACAAGCTTTCGAGCTACACAGAGCTCTTCTTCAGGTCTCTTCCCAAAGGGGATTTGCTAGTGTTTCCCTCTATATAGTTCATGAGTGGCTTAGAGAACATTCAAACAATTTAGCTGAGTGTATCTCTGCATGCTGGTGGCTGAGCGATCACAGCACCTGGAGGGGTTTACTGCTTATCACTAGCAAAGCATTGTGAGAGACAGCCCAGTTTGGAAAGCTAAGGGGGAACCCACAGTTCCAGGTTGTACCCCAGAGATCCCGTCACACTCAACCACTTTGTCTCTCAAATGTTGTATTGTCATGTTTCAGATAAATCCGTGTGTGAGGCAACCAAGCATCACAATCCCAACAATGCTATAGGATGCTATATAGGAAACAATGCCATGTGGATTTTCTTTATGGCAATTAATTTTCAAAAATATAAAAATTAGGGTATAATACACTGTAATAATTCATTTACCTACTTTGCATATGAAGTGCTGGTAAACGTCAAACATTATAGGTCTCCTGGTTTCTTAGGGGCTAGACACTAATATAAATGGTTACCTGCCTACTGTACAAGGATATTGTGATGGTTTGTTAGATACTGTTTGTAAAGTACTAAAGTATGTAAATGCTAAGGATTATTAGGGCTGGCTGAAAATTTTCCATCAAAACTTTTTTTAATGAAAAATTGGATTTTAATTAAATGAAAATTTTTGCAGAAAGTATTGCCAAAAAATTAAACAAAAAAAATCAAGGATTTTTCCTACAAAAAGTCAAAATTTTCTGTTGATCCCCTCCATTTTCCAATTAGTTCTAATTATTATTGGATACTGAATGGAAGGAACCCATTTTCACTGGCTATAGGCAGTAGTAGGTTTGCCTGTGATGGTATTAGATTACGCTCATCTACTAACCTCGTTGCATCATTAATAGATAGCTATAAGCTAGATCGGGGCGGGCAAACTTTTTGGCCTGAGGGCTGCACCGGGTTTGGGAAATTGTATGGAGGGCCGGTTAGGGGAGGCGGGCATGGCCCGGCCCCCACCCCCTATCTACCCCCCCCGTTTCTCGCCCCCTGACGGCCCACCCCCGGGACTCCTGTCCCATCCAACCCCCCCGTTCCCTGGTGGCCCCCTGGGACCGCTGCCCCATCCACCCCCCCTGCTCCCTGTCCCCTGACCACCCCCCAGAACCCCTGCCCTGACTGCCCCCCGCCACCCCATCCAATCCCCCCTCCTTCCTGACTGCCCCCCTGAACCTCTGCCCCATCCAACCACCCCTTTTCCCTGTCCCCTGACTGCCCCCGGAACCCCTGCCCCTGACTGCCCCATCCAACCCCCCCTCCTTCCTGACTGCCCCCCTGGACCCCTGCCCCCATTCAACCCCCCTGTTCCCCGCCCTCTGACCGCCCCACCCCTATTCCCCCCCTAATCACCACCCCAAACTCCCCTGTCCTCTATCCAACCCCTCTTGCTCCCTGCCCCCTTACTGCGCTGCCTGGAGCACTGGTGGATGGTGGCGCTACAGCCACGCACCGTGCAGCACAGAGCACCGAGTCAGGCCGGGCTCTGCAGCGGCGCTGCCCCAGGAGCTTGCAGCCCCGCCGCCCAGAGCACTGCGCCAGCGGCGGGGCAAGCTGCGGGGGAGGGGGAACAGCAAGGGAGCGGCTGGGGCTAGCCTCCAGGGCCAGAAGCTCAGGGGCCGGGCAGGAGGGTCCCGCGGGCCGGATGTGGCCCACGGGCCATAGTTTGCCCACCTCTGAGCTAGATCCTACTCTGCTTTCCCAACTTTTCTACCCTTTCTCTCCATATAATATAACTTGCATCTACTAACGTGGCAAAGTGTTTTTCTTCACCCCACCAGCTGTACCCCTCACTCTGAACAATTGATCCAGCTCTCCCCTTCCTTTTTTGAATATGTCAGTGTCAATTTTTTCAGGTGCCTGAATCTGAATGACACGGTCACAATTTCTGGATAACAGCTGCTGAGTGCAGGTTCTTGTCACAGGTTACTGTAGACTCCTAATGGCATTCGATCTTATATTCTCTTCAACTTGTATACCTGATTAAAGCCCTTCACAATTTCTCCCTTGCAAATTCTTCATGTCACAACCAATCAGGCTTGGCATGAGATTTCTGCCACTGGCATTCTAGCTATCTTCCTGTCTAGCTTCCTCTCCTGCTTCATCTGTCCCAGGCCGTCTGTAAACCATGCTGATCAGTGAGGTTGAAGCTGTCACCCTATCAAACCCTGAACTGAGGAGAGTTAGATGCCTCAAAAAGGGATTCTCAAAAGCCAGCATGCTGAGCGGGGAGTTGCCTAAGCCAGTCAATAGGAAATGCTGAGGAGAGGGATGTAGCCTCCTCTTAAAGGGAGGTAGGTGCCTAACTTTGGTCTGAGGGAGGTGCTTCCCTCTAGCTGGGGGTCACAGCCATGAGCCTCTGGAGTCAGTCACCTAAGCCGGGTCAGCCCTTTCTCAACAAAAACTGAGAAGCAGAAGGTGATGGCACCTTCCCTTTTACCAAAAGTCCCGTGGCTAAAGAACTCATCCACAATTTGGGAAACTCAGGTTCAAATCCCCACTGTGCTTGATGAGGAGCAGTGTTTTGAACCCAGGTCTCCCACATCCCACACAAGTGCCCTAACCACTGGGTTTGAAGATTGAAAGGTGATTTGATTACCACGTCCCTTGTATTTTCTTCGCAGGTACTAAAGGGCTCTTTAATGAGGAAGTCAGAATAAGAACCTGTGGCTGGAAGTTAAAGCCAAATGCAAATTAGAAATAATACACACAGTGAAGGTGATTAGCCATTGGAACAAACTATCAAGGCAGGCGGTGGCTTCTCCATCTCTTTAAATCAAGATTGGACATCTTTTCTGGAAGACATACTTTAGTAATCCACAAGTTACTGGCCATAGAATCTTGCCCTTTTACACTGAATTGAGCCCATAACTACATGCACCAGCCAAGCGAGCTGGTTGGCCGTGCCAGGGAGGAGACGTATGATACACCCTTAAAGGGTAAATTATTTACACCTGCAACCAAGTGGGAACCCAGCGAGACTAATCTACCCCCTAATGTATTGATGTTTTTTGTTCAATGGATTCTTAAATCTCTACCTCATAGCTTACATACCAAAGTTTAGGCTTCATTCTATTAGCATCGCTTGAGCTGCATTTCCATTTTTTAGAACATCCTTTTTGTTCTTTATGAACACTTGTTCCTTTCCAGTTAATGACCGTAGTTTTATGTATGATTATTTGCTTCTTTTTGAAATTGTGGTAGGATATAGACCTTTTGTTATTCAACTAAGGTTTTGATTTCCTAACATTTCCCTGCTGGGATGGCAAATTCATTCACATTTTAGTCACTGTTGCTTAATGGCTCTATTATGTTTAATTTATAGGGGGAAAATCCTATGTGTTACTCAGATCTCAGTGAACAGAAGCCTATTCTCTTGTGTGCTTCAAAACAAGCTGATCCAAGAAGCAGTCTGTGGTACTAAGAAATCATGTCTACACATGACATTTGTTACTGCTCTAGTAAATTACGACTCTTTAAAAAAGTTTCTAAGTTTCAGTAAATGGTTGATCAGAGTGCACACACCTGGAGCGGGCTGCCAGAATTGCCTTATGTGCTGGTCTTGGGTGGCCATCTAACAGGAGGATGATATCACAAAACTCGATCCCAGCTCCTTCTAGATAAGCCTTCATATCCTGAATCAAAGATGTTCCTGACAGAGGCAACACGGTGAAATGATTAAAAAGAAGACATTTCCAGGTGATCAGCTGTTATAAAGTTAATACACGGTTGCGCCACATCTACATACAGGTTTTTCCATGGGATCAAGGGAGTTGTTAGTAGGCAGGCACTTCATCACATTCTCAGAGCTATAGGAGGCCCCTTCTCGTATGCCATGGATAAGGCCAGGCCATGATCCCTGGAAATTTGTTCTGTATGTAAGGCTGATGCCCTTGGTGAGGTTCTATACCTGCATCCTTTTCCTCACCTCAGGTACATTTGCCTCAATCCACTTCCTCACCCACCCCCAGCCCCTCTTGTGCCAACATTGCTAACCTCACACCCATTCCCCCTCCACTTCTCTTGCGGTCTCTGGAACGCCATGACATATCTTCAAAGATCTCAGCCACCTGCGACCTCTTCCTATCTTGCTCCCTCCAGCTCCTGGCTCTTCAAGAGACCTGGATCCCTCTGCAGCTGCCATCTCTTATAGAGGCCTCTCCTTCTCTCACATCCCCGCCCTGGATCAGACTGTGGTGGGGTACGGGCCTCCTCCTGTCCCCTTGCTGCTGTTTCCAATACCTCCCTCCTCCCTTCCCCCTCCTCTCTTCTTTTGAACAGCGCTGCATCTGACTTCTCTCCTCTCCCCCTCAATATTGCTGTCACCTACCATCCATCCAGCTCCTCCCCATCAGACTTCCTCTCTGATCTCAACTCCTCACTCTCTCTTCCTCTCCTCACAATCGCCCACATTCAGCATCAGAGACTTCAGCTTCCATGGTAACAACCCATCCAACCCCTTAGCTGCACACTTTCTTTTCCTCCCCTCTTCATTCATTCTGCAGCCCTCGGTCAACTCTCCCATTCACCAAAAGGAACACTCATAGAATTTGGTCTCACCAAGCATTGCTTTCTTTGATCTCTGTTGCTGAGTTCCCTCCCTTTCAGCATCACCCATTGCCCCCCAACTCCCTCATGCCCTGTCACTTGGTCTTTCCGCAACTTCATCCTACAACATCAGTGACTTATTATCTGCTCTCAGCCTTCTCATCCTTTCTTCCATTGATATAGTTGTTGATTCACTCCCTCCCTCCACCTTTGCCTCTTTTGCCTCTCTCTCTCATTGCAAGATCTGCCCTGCCAACCCCCAGCCCTAGCTCACCCCCAGCATGAGGAAGTTACTTACCTTATAGTAACTGGAGGGTCTTCGAGATGTGTGGTCCCTATCTGTATTCTACTAGGGATACGCATGACTCCATGCTCCCAAAGTCAGAGAATTTTGAAAGCAGTGTCTGCTGGCTCGCACATGCACCCTTACTTTCCTTGGGCCTCCACCCAAGGAGATAAAAGATGGAGTAGACCAACCACCTCTCCTGTTCCTTCTCTACCATGAATCTAATCAAGGTCCGAAGCAGGGGGGAGGGAGAGTTGGTAGTAGGTATGATAGGGACCACAAATCTCAAATAACCTGTAAGGTAAATAACTTCTTCTTCTTCTTCTTCTTCTTCTTCAAGTGCTGGTCCCTATGTGTATTCCATTGTGGGTGACTGACAACTAGTACTCAAGAAAGAAGAGAGTGCAAGGATGCAGGTGGCAGAGTTGCATGAAGGACCGTTGCCCTATAGCATGCCCCATAGCAGTCTTCTACTAAAGCATAATGACTCGCGACCATATGGTTGGAAGTCCACGTAGCTGTTTTATGAATGTTAACCAAAGACACTTCCTCAAGCAATGCTATAGACATTGCTTGTGCTCATCCTGTGTGGGGGAAGGAAGGTGAGACAATTGATAGCAGAGTAAGATATAACCTGAGATCCACCCAGAGATCCTCAGAGGAGATAGCTTGACCTTGGACACTTTCCACCATGGCTCAAACATTGGGGGGAAGAATTGCATCAGGAATGTTGGTTGGAAAGTGATCTAGATGTGTCCCTAAAAAGGATAATGTTATTCGGTGGTTGGATCGTCAGTTTCCCTGGTATGAACCAGGTACTCATGGTGTGTGCAATGAGAACACTGATCCAACTACCCTCTGCCACCCAGTGGCTGCTAACAGGCACCAGAACTAGAAGTTGAATTCCGACAGAGCAGAGGACTCCAATCCTGGAATCTACTAGGTTGAATTCTGGGGTCCTGAATGTCCCTGACTGTATTTAAAACCAAGCACAGGAACAAGAAGTTGTCCGTGTAACTGGGTCACCCCTGCTCAGGACTGTTTCCCTTGCACTACCTGCTCCTACTACCTGACTCTGATCTCCTGGTAACCTGACCCTGCCTGCCTCTTTACACCTGACTCTCAGTCTGCCCTCTGGCATATCTCAGAATCTAATCTCCTGATATCTGACCCAGCCTGGCTCCCAACTCCTGGTCTGACCGCTAGGTCAGACTCCCCATGTCAGTTTGCATGGACCACTTAAGCCACAGGAGTGGGCTTGGTGTCAGTAAAATGGAACTGGCTAAACCTCTGGAAGCACTGGGCACTCCCAAGTGGGTCTGCCTGACTTCAGGCTGACAATTAAGCCTTGCAGGGCTAGGTCATTCAGATGACCTCGGAGAAAAAACTGTCACCTCCTTTCGTAACTGTTGTTCTTCGAGATGTGTTGCTCATGTCAATTCCATTCAAGGTGTGCGTGCACCCACGTGCACAGTTGTTGGAGATTTCTGCCTTAGATGTATGCGTAGGGCCAGCTGTGGTGCCCCCTGGAGTGGCACCCCCATGCGGCGGTATATCAGGCGCCGCCGTCCCGGCGCCCTCTCAGTTCCTTCTTGCCAGCAACTCCAACAGAGGGGCGAGAGGGCGGGAAATGGAATGGACATGCGCAACACATCTCGAAGAACAACAGTTACAAAAGGTAGGTAACCAGTTTTTCTTCTTCGAGTGCTTGCTCATGTCGATTCCATTTTAGGTGATTCACAAGCAGTATCAATGGAGGTGGGCTTGGAGTTCACAGCTTAGCGGCTTGCAGTACTGCCCTACCAAAGCCAGCATTGTCCCAGGCCTGCTGGGTCAGCGCGTAGTGGGACATAAAAGTGTGGACAGATGACTATGTGGCTGCTCTACAGATGCCCTGGATAGGCACATGGGCCAGAAAGGCTGCCGAAGAGTGGGTGGTGACGATCGCCGGGGTGGCACCTTCACTTGGTCATAGCAGAAGCGAATGCAGGCAGTGATCCAAGAAGAAATTCTTTGAGTGGATACCGGGCGACCTTTTATCCTGTCAGCCACTGCGACGAACAATTGCATCGACTTACGGAACGACTTGGTCCTATCCACACAGCTCTTCACCAGGATATACTCACACTGATATGCGCTACCTCTGCCTCAGGAATTCCACCTGACAAACAAGCTATCATCAATAAGCAACCACATGACTCCTGGGAAGGGATCACTTATGTAAGGGACCACATCTATGTTCACCCAGGACCCAAAAAAGTTGCAGTCCTGCAACTATGTCATGACTTTCCCCTAGCAGGACACAGGGATGCTTTAAGGTTCCAAAACCACTGGGCCACAACTCACAGATGGGCTCCATCCAAAAACTGATGTCTATATGCTTGTGGGGTGAAGCCCAGACTGACCAGGATAGCTTCCTTGACCTCCACATACAAGCCAGCCTGTTCATCAATCAGGGCCCTATATGCAACTGCCTCTCCAGTCAAAAATGGGGCCATCCTATCCTCCCAGGATGACTCTTCCCAATCAGCTGAACTAGCCACCCATTCAAATGTGCAGAGGAAGGCTTCTAGTCATCCTGAAGCTCCAGTTTTTCCAATATATGGAACAGTCTGCCCATAGAACCCACCCCTATGCTAGATTGACTCCTGGTAGCCCATTTCTCTAGCTGTTGTAAGAACCATTTGTGCCGCTGTCACTGGACCTCTGGCCAGTGTTGTTGTACAGGGAAATGTGCGTCCTGCTCTTTTTGCTGGGTTTCCAGGCACTAGAACAGAAGCTTCTGAATTTGTCTCTGTTGCTCCTGCTATTGTTGTCGGCCAGCAAGACTTCAGGTGCACACCACCTTCCATTCTGGTCGTGAGACAGGGGCCCCCTCACGACAAGGCCTGGTGATACAGAAGCTCTGCCTTGCTGCTCAATCAACCCTCCTTAATGGGAGGGGAAGAGGATCTTGGGAATCCCACCATTGGTTCCAAATAGTTATGTGGTGCACTCACTGCCAGAGCATCCCCTCATGCCAGGATTCAGCACTGCAAGGACTTCACCTTGAACATCTCCCATTTTGCTGGCCAATTGGTTTTTAAACTGGTCTTCTGGGTCACTCAGTCCTCCAGCCAGGTCGCACTTAAAGTTCAGTCCCCTTCCAGGGTAACAAAAGTCCAATTAAAATAAAATATCCAGCCAACTGAATTTCTGCCCCTCTTGGGCCTGACAGGTCTCCCACTGCCTTTCCTCCCCAAGGACTCCAGCAGCTTCACCTGGGACCTGCGACCGATAGGCCCTATCTCAGGTTGTAATGGGCCCTCGCTCTCCTGCTCAGAGGGAGGCCACTCAGTCCGGTCCTGTCTGGCCAGGACTCGAATCCACAGGACAGCCAAGAGCCCACAGTAGGGCTGGGTGATCAATAGTCACAGTCAAGCTTTAGCTTGGGTTTGGGCGGCTCAAGATGTCAGCCCTTAAACAGAGTCTATAACTGAGCTGGGGACCTGGGCTTGAGGAGGCTCAGGCAGCCAGCAATGAACAGTCTATCAGGGCTGGCTTTAGCCTGGGCGGAGCTCAGGTAGCCAGCAAAGCAAACAGTCTATAAGGGAGCTGGTAAGGGAGGCTCCTTCTTCAGGGCTAGAGCTTCCCTGCACAGTGTAGGGAGCCATCCATCCAAGGGTGGGGTGGCAGGGGGACGTGGGCCCACCCTATTCCACTGCGTCCCAGCCCAGGGCCCTGGCAGGGGAAGGATTGGCTGCCCCTGTGTCAGCGGGGATCCAGCCGCAACACGCTGACTGAGCCACACCTGGCTCTGCAGCTGGCTGCTCTGTGGC